ACCAAAAACACTGCTTCAGACAATAGCCAGGGTTGTTCTGATTGTTTTGATCCAGATTAGGTCAATGTGAAGGCAAAGGCTCTGCAGGTAAACTTCAACTGGGAGATCCCTGGAGGCTCCAGCTCCAGAATATGGGTCAAGGACACGGAAGTACTGACAGAACACCAGGCTCACACTAACCCTCGGCTTGACATCCAGCAGGGCAGAAGCCAAGCAAGAGTTTGAAAGAGGCTGAAATCAGTTTCAAGTCTATCCAGGATAAAATATGACCAGTTACTAAGCAAAATGTACAAAATATTCTTATCAAGAACCAAATGCTTTATTTCCAAGTTAACTGAAGAACAATACTTTTATAGGAACAATATAAAGACAGCTTATTTCCCCCTGTCATCTTCTCTGAAACAATGACCAAAGCACATTTAGAACAGAGATTCTGACCTTCAAATGAGTACAGACCCACTACAGAGATACCAGCCAACTTCCTGCATGTCCCCAAATAGCTTGCAGATCTTAAAGGAAGAGAATGATTTTCCTTAACTATCACCAAATAAGAGAGAAAAAAATACAAAACAAAAACCACCTAGATACAACACTGACAGCAGTTCACCACACCCTCCTGACTACCACCACACCCATGGAGGGTGAGCTCCATGGTCCTGAATTCAACTGTAGCACTACTGCACACTCCTGCTCTCTGGACAGCAAAATCAGAAAGTGAATGTTCTTTCTGTCTTTTTTTTTTTTCTTAAGACAGAGTCTCACTTTGTTGCCCTAGGTAAAGTGCTATGGCATCATAGCTTATAGCAACCTCCAACTCTTGGGCTCAAGCAATCCTCTTGCCTCAAATTTTTCTGTTCTTGTATTTTTAAGTAGAGGACAGAGTCTCGCTTTTGCTCAGGCTGGTCTTGAACTCCTAAGCTCACTTGATCCCCCTGCCTCGGCCTCTCAGAGTGCTATGATTACAGGTGTGAGCCACTGCATCCAGCCAGAAAGTATTTTTTAAAAAGCATGGTTTCAGTAACAACTATGGCTCAGAATGTAAACATATGGAAAGCAGCCATCCAACAAGCTTTATCCTCTAGAGAGAACCATGAGAGGCTGGGGCAGGAGGAAAGGAAACTAGGAGACTAAAAGTCCAAACTGTTCTACATCATTTGAAAGAAAAAAAATAGCTTTAATTTCTATGCCTTTTCTTCCCTCAGAGATGCATCTGCCATATGAATTTGCCTAGGGGACTCCTGCAGAGATTACTGTGACATGATCCCTCCAGCTTACTGGGCTTACTCATTATGGCTGGACAGCTGGGCAGACCACTCGAAGGCTGGACAGGATTTGGTCAGGACAAGACTTGCTCTGTACTGGGAGATCTTGGCCAGAAAAAGAACATGATAGATGAGTGTTCATTATTTTTTCTCTTTATGTCTTTGTGTGCCTGATTGATTCCATTAGAACAAAAAGAGTGAAAACACAAGGTATGTTGTAGAACTGGCAGAGGCCTGACATGGCTAACATGTGTGGTGAAAGAACAATGGCAGGAAATGCTGGAGATGGCGCTGAGTCTGGGTCCTTCATGCCAGGGCAGACGCGACCAGGGCAGCATTTTGGGCCATGGAGAAAGACTCGTCAGCCCTGACTCCCAGTGGGAACACAGCAACATGTGGGGACAGCATTTGATCCCACAATATATCACAATACTATGAAGCTATGTAAAGATGACAGAAAGGGTCTTTGGGCACTATGGAGGGCAGAGTCACACATATCAGACTTGCTCAGGCTGCAGCACCACAGGCCATTTCTAGGACGACACTCTGAGCCTCCATTGTGCTGACAGTGCAAAGGAGCATGCTGCATGCACGTGCAAACACACATGACTTCCTTAGCATCCGCTTCCACATCTGCTAAGCTTAGCACCTGCACTTCTACTCATGCCATCAATATAATACCCTGGAGCCACTCTGACTACTCCTCCTGTTGTCAAGGAAGATATGCAAGCATGTGGGCTGGACAATCACACCAAAGGGCAGGCAGGCCAGGAGTACATATGGTGGTCCTGCTAACTAAGGGTCCCTGAATTCTTGATTTTATCAGGAAGGGCCTGCTCTCCCAGACCATATGAAGCAAATTAACACATTAACTTCCATGTGAGTTATTTAACTCACAGTAGTTTGGGTCCAGGTCTCCTGAAGCATATAGATCTGGTGGATAGCCAGGGAAGTCCACAGCAGCATGCCTGCCCTCTATAAAACCTTGGCTCATTGCCCTAGCTGTCAGTTGACAAGTCTCCCCCACCTTCTTTCACCCCATTCCTGCCAGCCTGCCCAACCACACCGCCTATGCTGCACTGTGTTCTCTGATTACCATAATTCCAATCATGTGCTTCCCTTGAACGTTTGTCCAGTGGCTCTTGGGGCAAATGAAATCAATATGATAGTATGTGGCGATGTGACACTACCTAGGGGGTACGATTCAGAGATCATCATCTAGGACCACCCAAGGTCCACTCCAGACACAACAAAATACTTGTATGGAATGCCAAAAGACTCAATTCACAGAAATAAATCCAATAAGTATGTTATGAGTCACACAAAACTCATGTGTTTTGCAGTGTAAAAATTGATTCTAGTACTATATGAGTGGCATATAACTCACACAGAGAAAAAAAATAACAATTTTGGTAGCTGGGCACCATCTTTGATGCTGGCAGTCTTGGTTTTTTGCTGGTGTTGCTGCTGTGAGGATGGCAGATGGCAGCAGTTAAGAAAACAGCAAGATGTGGCAGCTAGTGGGAGTCGGGGATAGTGTCATCGGTTCAGTAAAGTTTCTGTTCTCTGATTTGAGGATATTTCCAGCCTGAAAAATTCCTGGAAAATTGACTAGTATTAAGTATGAGTAAAAGGTGCCCACTTTTTTTAAAGTTTTGATTTTAGTTTTGTCTTGGATAGTATTTGGCAAGATTTAGCCTAGAAATTATGTAGTATTTAAGAATCAAAATTTCTTTGTTACTGGGCTGGTTTCAAAATTCAGAACTCATTTCTATGTATCAAGATAGTTTTTTTTGTTTTTTATTTGATTTTTTAAAAATTCTTAAATGGTAAATGTACCATTGTGAAATGAAATTTCAACTCCGAAAGTTCATCCTTTTACTAAACTGGAGTAAATGATAATTACAAAGTCTTTAGCTATAGCCATCCATAGTAAAGAATTTGCAACTAGGTTGCATAAGCAAGCCTTTGTAGGGCCAATATGGAATGGCATGCCAGTGTCACTGGTGTTGATATAAAAAAAGAAAAAAATCCTCCCTTAGATAGAAGTTTTCTTGTTGACAGTACCAGTTTAGAATGGCTATAATGCTGCTCTGCCTTCTACAGCTTGCTGCACCACTCTGTAGTTACTCTATAATTATACGTTTCTACCTTTTTTGGTTAAACACTCCCTGATGATGATGGGGATGATGATAATGATATATATATCCATATTATACACATTGATATACACGTAAAGAATTTTCTTTCATCTTTATTTTGTGGGCTGAGCAAAATTTAAAGTAACAACCTCATGATACTTTGGTATAAGAATAACTTCACTGTTTTTATAATGAATCCAAATCTAAAGGCTTTTGTCATGTATTTCAAAAGGGGAAAATTATCCAGATGTTTTATTACTACACATTTGTATATATGTGCATGTGTTTGTTAAAGCCAGTTAGTATATATGTACATTACATACATAAAACATTTTATATTTTTACATACAAGTATGCTTTTATTATACAGATAATAAAGATGGGGGAAGGTTTCTGTTTATTTCTTAATAGGTGAAGAAATCTTGAACCAGAAATTGAATCTTATTGAATTTTAATGGGTCTTTTGTTTGTTTTTTAATTATATTATTTGGCTATGGAAGATGGATCATTTTGTTTATTTTTATTAAATCATAGCTGTGTACATTAATACTATCATGGGGTACAGTGTGCTGTTTTTATATGTAATTTGGAAATTTTTCATCAAACTGGTTAACATAGCCTTCATGTCATTTTCTTAGTTATTGTGTTAAGACATTTGTATTCTACATTTAGAGAGATTCACATGTACCCTTATAAGATGGACCATAGGCGTGATCCCACCAATCACCCTCCACCCATTCTCCCTCCTCCCCTGCCTCTCTCCTTTCCCCATATTCTTGGGCTATAATTGGGTTATAGCTTTCATATGAAAGCTATAAGTTAGTTTTATAGTAGGGCTGAGTACACTGGATACTTTTTCTTCCATTCTTGAGATACTTTGCTAAGAAGAATATGTTCTAGCTCCATCCATGTAAACACGAAAGAGATGAAGTCTCCATCCTTCTTTAGGGCTGCATAGTATTCAATGGTGTACATATACCACAATTTATTGATCTATTCGTGGATCGATGGGCACTTGGGCTTCTTCCATGACCTAGCAATTATGAATTGGGCTGCAATAAACATTCTGGTACAAATATCTTTGTTGTAGTGTGATTTTTTGGTCTTCTGGAAGATGGATCTTTTTTTTTTTTTTTTAATAACCCTTTGAATCTTAAGTTCATTTTCAAATGAACTTTTTTTGTTTTTTATTTTTTGTTTTTGAGGAGATAACTAACCCTAGAGGTCTCCAGTCTGACAAAGGTTATTTGAATGGACTTAAATCTCCCAGTAGTTGGGAGCTATTTTAAAAACACATCCTGTGTTTGATTTGTGGCTGAGAGGTTTCTTTGGCAATGTGAGAAAGAAAATTTTTTCTGCCTCATTATTATTAATTCATGGATTGAGTGATGGATCGACCTACAAGTGTAATAGATTGGAACTCAGTGAGGACACAGACGTTCCTGTTGAGAGCAACCAGCTAATGATTACATTTTAAAGACAGTTTCTGTGATTGAATTGTCATTTGGAAGATAAAACCCATTTCAAGAGGACTTGGAGCTGGTCCTCGTCTTGAGGAATCAGTGGCTTATTTCAAGAAGCCACTTGTGATTGAGGAATCTACCCAGCATGCCTAATCAAGGAGAAGACTGCTATTTTTTTTTCTATTCTACATGCACCAAAAGTGACAACTGCCAATTTATCACTGTGAAGCTGCACTAGGAAATGAAACTATTTGCACATTATGGCAAGAAAGGAGCTGTTTTCAAGAGGTATGCTGGTTTTGGCACATGCAAATTGATTTTTTAAAAATGCAGTGAAATTCCTTGTTATTGGGAAAATCAACCAATGGGATGTCAAAAACTAAACTCCACTTTCCATCACAACAGAGACGTTATGTTGACGGCCTTTTTCTACCTCCAAGCAAAACTGTGTTGCCCACTGTGCCTGAGTCACCAGAAGAGGAAGTGAATGCTAGCCAACTCAAAGTTCAACAAAACAACTGTCTGCCCAGTCTAATCCCTCCCCTCAGCTGAGAAGTGTTATGAAAGTTGAAAGTTCTGAAAATGTTCCTAGCCCCACACATCCACCAGTTGATGAAGATGATGATGATCAGTTTTCTGAGGAAGGTGATGAAACCAAAACACCTACACTGCAACCAACTCCTGAAGTTCATAATGGATTATGAGTGGCTTCTGCCCAGAAACCCAGGGTCAATTTAAAGCAAGGTGAATCTTTGAATTTTGGAATAAAAACTCTTGAGGAAATTAAGTCAAAGAAAATGAAAGAAAAATCTAAGAAGCAGGTTGAAGGAGTTTTCAGTCTTTTATTTTACTCTCAGCCCATTCCATGTCCTAAAAAAGAGAATGTCTGGGCTATGGTAAGGACAGTAACTCTGTCAAAGGAGAAGAACCATTGGTTAGATTGAGTCTTACTGAGAGACTGGGGAAACAAAAATTTTCAGTTGGTGGTGAGAGTGATCCTCCATTAAAGCGTAGCCTTATGCAGAGGCTAGGGAAGAAAGTTGAAGCTCTAGAAACTAATACTGACAAAACACCAAAGAAGTTCAAGTTTCTAAGTCTCTGAAAGAGTGATTAGGCATGTCAGTTGGTCCAAATAATGACAAGGCAACTGAGAGAGTTAATAAAGTTGGTGAGATCCATGTGAAGACATTATAAGAAATTCTTCTTGAAAGAGCCAGTCAAAAACATGGAGAATTGCAAACTAAACTCAAGACAGAAGGACTTTCAAAAGCTGATGATTCTACTTCAGGAGCAAGAAGTTCTTCCACTATCCAAATCAAAACATTCTCTGAGGTACTGGCTGAACAAAAACATCAGCAGCAGGAAGCAGAGAAACAAAAATGCAAGAAGATGCAACACGCATCAAACTAAAAACTGATAATGAAATTTAAAAAAAAGTTATTTTGCCACTCATAGTTGCCAGCAAAGGACAATCAGAGGAACCTGCAGGTAGAACAAAGTCCATGCAGGAGGTACACATCAAGACGCTGGAGGAAATTAAACTAGAGAAGGCACTGAGGGTGCAGCAGAGCTCTGAGAGCAGCACTAGCTCCCAGCCTCAACCTGAGGCCACCCAGGAGCAAGGCAGGTGCTCTGAATCACCAAAAGAACAGGAATGAAGGAGAAGAAACTTCAGGAAGGAAGCGAAGCTGCTTTAAAGAGCAATGTTACTAGAACAGAAGCTAAAGAGACTTCAGATGAGACCACAGGAGTTGACATCACTAAAATTCAAGTCAAGAGATGTGAGACTATGAAAGAGAAGCATATGTAGAAACAGCAGAAGAGGGGAGTGATACAGAAGGAAAAAATCACTCTTGATACCCCTTCACGGAGATGTAGGCTCTTGCAATACCCAAGTGGCAGAAAAACCAGTGCTCACTGCTGTGCCAGGCGTCATACGGCATCTGACCAAGCAGCTTCCCACAAAGTCATCCCAGAAGGTGGAAGTAGAAACTTCAGGGATTGGGGACTCAATATTAAATGTGAAATGTGCAGCACAGACCTTAGAGAAAAGAGATAAAGCTAAATCCAAAGTAAATGTAAAACCATCTGTGGTTAAAGTTGTTTCATCCCCCAAATTGGCTCCAAAACACAAGGCAGTGGAGGTGCACCACGCTGTCATTGCAGTGGTGAAGCCACTCAGTTCCAGCAGTATCCTACAGGAAAGCCCAGCCAAAAAAGCAACTGTGGTTGTTGTCCTAGTCCTCTCTGAGGACAAATCAGTCAGTTTCTACCTGAGGCAGAAACACATGCAGACAGCCTTGTGCGCCTCCAACCCAGTCTTCCTCAGATCCCTCACCCCTTTTCATACCAGATGGGCACAAAAACTCGCCGACTCAGCTCTGCCTCAACTCAGCTCTGCCTCAAAACCCCCACTACCTATGTAGGATGATTTTGAGAAACTAATATGGGAGATTTCAGGAGGCAAATGAAGCTGACATCGACTTGGATCCTGGGAAGGATGAAGATGACCTTCTGCTTGAGCTATCAGTAATGACTGATAACTGAAGGTGGCAGTGAGAACACTTTAAAAAACAAAAACTCGTCAAAAAACTGGACTTTGTTTTATCTATCATAACATTTATATGAGATGATCATTTCTTTAGTCTAGAATTTGCCCTAAATCAGAAGTATACCTCTGAATTACCTGTATGTGTCCTAGATTTCTTGGAGTCAGGTTTTTAAAGTCACTCAATAACCAATTTGTCCATTTGATGCCATTATTTAGCATCTGAGAGAAAAATGTTCCGTCATACCCTTTTCTCCAAAAGAGACTGAGAAGGAGATCTAAGTGAAAGGGTGCAAGAGAACTTAGTGACTCTTTCAGGTGTTTGTCAGTTTTTGCTTTTTCCCCCTTTGTTGTATTCTTTCTTTTATGTATTGTCTTAATGTATTTAATATTACTTGAGTTTGAAATGGATGAAGACAGCTGCTACCATTAAGGACCAAATTTGATGCTACCCCTAAACAAAAGTCCCCACTCAGTGTGTTAAATTGTATGTCTTTTTAAAGGTAATTGGAGAGTCAGCTAAGCTTTAAAGAGTGCTGGGCAGCTCAGGAAGCCTGTTAAGTGGACATAACTCTTTGGACCTGATTTTGATGCTTCTACTGCTCTGTTAGCCTCTGAAGAGCAATATCTAATTTATTATTACTGTAATTATTTAAGGCTTTAAAGTGCCCCAGGGATCCCCTGAAACTAATTTTCTATTTCTGGGGACTCCTGGGTTCATTATAAGAGATGGCAATATGGTTTTGAGGAATTTTTTTAGTATGAAAATTGTCCCTTCTCTTCAGTACTTGCCTCCTTTTAGTATTGAATCACCACAGGGACAAAAATAGGTTAATGTTTTATTTCTAACTCTCCCAGCAAACTCCTTGCCCAGTATTTATTTGATGCCCTTTAATTCCTTGAGGGACAAAAAGGAACTCATTTGAACTGCCAATATTTATCTTTGGACCATAGAAGTACAGTGAATCGTACTGTGGTAGGGTTATGGAGATGCTCTGGGTGTGTACTGTATACCTGCCAGCCTTCTTCATTACTGGATAGAATTTTCTTTTCTTGCTGTTAGTCTCCTTCATATCATCTGAAGGTTTAGACTTGTGGAGGAACAAGCACAATGGGGATAATAGTCTTAAAGGAGACATTATTCATAATCAGAAGTAGGAGGAAAGAAGGACTTGTCCATTTTGATATTTTGTAGGTGGCCAGTTTTGTTTCTCATAGGAAAATCTGACCCTCCTGTCACAATGGCTCCTGAGGAACTGCTGTTGTAAGTGGCTCATCAAGAGTTGAACTTTGTGTAGCCTTGTTGGGAATATGGAAAAGGAAGAAAGCCACAAGACTGCCCATTCAGTCTTGGGAAGATCTGGATAATTCTGCACAAGCAAAAATGACTTGAAATTTATGTATAGACATACCTCTACCAATCCATCTTCAGCTGACTGAATGTTGTACGATAGCCCTTCTCCAAAGAAGGGGTGGAATGTTCTGGTTTCAACACAGATTTTCTACTCATTTCATTTTTAGAATCAGCTTATAGATTCCAGGTCTCCATTGTATATAACTTTTATTCTTTTGCTTTTTAAAAAAATAATTCTGTTTCATATTTAAAGCACTTGTATTAGTCAATGATTCATATTCAGAATTATTTGAACCATCTGCCGTTACAGAAAGAGAAATACTTATTTGTGTTTTAAATAAAACTGGTATAGGAAAAAAAATAATTTTTTCATTAAATTAGAAAAGATCATTTTGTTTTCAAAGTTTTTGTTCTATTTTCATTAAAAAAAAAACAAAAAAAAACAAACCACTGTGGCCCCAAGGAAAAAAAATTATTTTTTTAGTGTAGCATTCAATGTGTTAAAATAAAAAAGGCCTCAGGCTGGTGCTCCTGCCTACCTGAATTCCTCATCTCCTCTAACCCACCAGCTCTAGGCAGTCTTCCCTCCTATACTCCTGCTCCTTACCATGACCCTCCACCTCAGAGACTCTCAAACCACAGAGTCACCTGCAGAGCTTGTTATAACTAGGCAGGCGGCTATCTTGTGTCCCCGAGTGTGTGTGCCTAAACTCAGCTGGTCTACCCAAGACCCCCTGAGCACCAAACCTAGTCCCCCATGGGGCCCCCTTCGTGCTCCAACAAGATGAAAGAAACTCTCATGAACCAAGCAGGAGAAACTGGCTAAACTGCAAGCACAAGTACACACTGGTGGGAAAGGAACTGCTCACACAAAGAAGAAGGTGGATGATACAACATCTGTAACAGATGATAAAGAACTTCAGTTCTCCTTAAGGAAGTTACAGGTAAACAATTATCTCTGGTACTGAAGAGGTGAATGTGTTTACAAACCAAGGAACAGGGATCTACTTTAATAACCCTAAAGTTCAGGCATCTCTGGCAGCAAACACTTTCACCATTACAGGCCAGGGTGAGACTCAATATTATAGACCAGCTGGGTGCAGACAGTCTACCTGGGATGAGGTAAGTGAGCTGAAGCTCTGCCTAAACAGTCTGAATGGGAAAGCACAACTTGCTGTTGGTAAGGATGATGGTGATGAAGTTCCAGATCTCGTGGAGAATTGTGATGAGGCTTCAAAGAATGAGACAAACTGAATTGAGTCAACTTCTGAAGATGAAACTTGAAGAAATTACTGGGAGCCGCTATTTTATATTATGACTGCTTTTAAAAATTGTTTTTGTTTATGGATCTAATAAAATCTAGATCTCTAATATTTTTAAGCCCAAGCCCCTTGGACAATGCAGCTCTTTTCAGTTTTTGCTTATACATAATTCATTCTTTGCAGCTAATTAAGTTAAAGAAGACTGGGAATAAAGTTTGAAGGAAAGATTAATAAAGTTCTTTGCCTAGTCAAAAACAAACAAACAAACAAACAAAAAACCCACTAGGCAGGCTGGGCCCCAGCCCCAGAGTTTGAATTAGAGGTCAGTAAAGGTCAGAGATTTGCATGCTGATAGGTTCCCAGGTGCTGTTGCTATTTCCAATGGTTGAAAGATCTCTTTTTGAAAACCACAGCTCTACCTGGTGCTCACCTGTGATCACTAGTTTGGGTTCCTGCCTGCCTAACTCAGCTTTATCCTAGCCCAGGCTCCTGGGACGGTGGACTGCCAAACTCACCACCCCTCCTGGGAGTCACAGTGTGTCACAGATGCACAAACCAATAGCATTGTGAGCTCATCTTGACTCCTGCTAACTAATGGTCAGATGGAAGGCTTAACTGAATTCTTAATAAAAATTAATAATTTATTGTCATGACAAAATTCACATAGTGCCTTACTGTTTGTAAAGCACCGTCTTCCTCCTATCGCCCCACTTGAATATCACCACAAACTCTAATGGTAGATCTTACCATTCCTGTTTTGCAGATGATGAAACTGAGGCCAGAGGTTACGGACTCACCTAAGATCACAGGACCAACATTTCTGCTATCTTCTTTTTATACAAATGTGGTCATGTAATACATTTTTCAATTGGACATTCTTAGACTTTTATTATCAATTATTTTTAATATTAAAAAGTATAGCAGCATGCAAGAAAGGTACAACATATGTATGAATGCTCACCATATACATCAGAGCCTCCTCCTGCTGTGAACACAAATGAGAGCAAAGCTATGTTTGTGGACTGCCAATTTCAAGAACAAGGCTGCAGACACCACAAGATACCTTAAAGCACCAGAGAAAAACTGACAAGTGGACAAGTTTTTTTCCCCATATAGAAGTTTTCACTTTGGGTTATTTAGGTTTTGTTTCATTTGAAATAGTTTGCTACCATGTAGAAATTGGGGGATCTCGTGCAGATTTGAATGACAAGCTCTCTTAAAACCAGTTAGGATCTGGCAGCGCTAGAATCACAATGTTACAACACCTTAGTGTGCTGGAGCTTTCCACCAGTCCCTTTACTCAGGGTGGCTACTCCAGTCTGGCAGGGCTCTCTGGAACCACCAGTTTGCACCACCTGCCTGGGTCCACAGGCATTCAAAGGCCTCCAGCCCTGGAGCTTGTTCTAGTAGAGTTAAAATGGATCAATGACAAACAACTTGAGCAGAATTAATTTCTGCAAGCTCAAGGAATTACAACTGAAGAGTGATAAAGTCTAGCTGCTTAGGGATTACTGAGAAATAACAGACAAATCACTAATCACACAGCAGTGAAACTGAGAGCTTGATTCCTGTTGCCTGTCTTCTGGGTAAGCCAGTCCTTCCATTTCTATACTAGAGAGTGATAAATTGCTATAGCCTTTTTCAACAGTTTTACATATATGCATATGTACATACATACAACATAACCCAAACGCTATGGATCTGCTACTAAGGATCTGCTTCTTAGAGAAGGGAGAGGCTAGTGGCACTTTCCAAAATGAAAACTACAATTTATGATATATTCTTGAGACACAAAAAATACACACAACAGAAAGAAACAATGACTATACTTTCTTCACAGACAGGATAATCTCTATCCTACAGAGCACAATGTTGGGTGATCAAAATCTCTATAAGTTTATCTACAGGGATCAAGTTGAATTTCTGAAAATACAGGAAAAGGAATTCAAACAAATACTCATTCTATCCATGTCACTGCAGAAAAGGTGAGTCATAAAATTACTATCCTATATTCATCAGCTCTTAATTTTTTTTTTTTTTTTTTTTTTTTTGCCCCTTTGAGGATAGCCAAAAAAAAGAAAAAGCTGTTTCTCAGGCTCCTTTACAAACTTGACATACACAAATGGAACCCAGGACTCCTAAACAGAGGCTGTGGTGCTTTCCAAAGAAGAGAAGTGTCAAAGTCTGAGACTAAGACTTTTGGTCCAACAGTGATAACAGGTGATGTAAATTCTTCATCACATGTGCCAAAGTGAATAACATAAAACAGACTTATACCAAAGTTTGTAAAAGAAAAAAGGTCTGAGATCTCTGTGCTCAATCCCATTACCAGATGTCTCTGAATTCCTGTCATGTTAGTCTTAACATGAAAGCTTTATAAAAATATTAACTCCAATTGCCTCCAGCTGAAAACTACCAGAAAAATTTCTGTGATTATAAGTTGTTTGAATAATGGAAAGAAAACTCTGTAAGATTTGTGTATGTAATGTATATATATGTGTATCCCAACTTCCTAAGGCAAATACATGTGGGTAGGACTAAAGCCCATATAAAGGTAAAGAAACACATTCTATGAAAATAAATAAAATCCTTAAAATTCTCCCACTGAATGCTTTTGAACTGAAAAATTCTAATTAGACAATTCAGCCAATGAAACACCATGTTTAGAGAGAACTACAGGAAAAAGCAACTTGGCTTTATTTCAACATTTCCTCTTCATAAGACTTTGTGGGGAAGACATAAGGAGATTTTTGCCTCAAACCTTAATTTAAAATTAATATTTGGTGTTAGAACCTGCCTCTTGTCATCTCAGGTAATGGGCCAACCATTACCATCTCAAGTAATGAGTCAGTGTACATTGTAAATCTATCACTTCTAACATAAAGTATTTGAGAAAAAAATAAGATAATCTCTCAATATTTATTCCTTTAAAAATTTAAAAGATAAAATGGTCTGCCAAATGGTCCATTTCCTTGTTAACAAATTTGTAAATAAGGATGCTAACTTTTACCAGACTGGAGAACAAAGACTGCCAAAGCGAGCATAAACCACATATATTTTAGTGACTAAAAACTCAGAAAGTGCTGCTGAAATCACTGATACACATGTTACTTAATACTCTCTAAAATTACTTAATGACCTTCATGAGGCTTTAAAACACTATGTATTCAGTATTTATGAGACCTCCTTTCCTTTTTTTCTCTTTCTTTCCTCCCTATTTCCTTCCCTAATTCTTTTATGGAACTCTAACTTCCAGACTTCAAATTTCTGTCTTATAAAAATTCAGTTCAATTAAAACAAAATAGAGAGGACAATAAATACTATCTTTTTTTTTCTTTTTGTGAAGACAGAGTCTCACTTTATTGCCCTCAGTAGAGTGCTGTGGTGTCACAGCTCACAGCAACCTCTAACTCCTGAGCTTAGGCGATTCTCTTGCCTCAGCCCCCAGAGTAGCTGGGACTACAAGCGCCCACCACAATACCCCGCTGTTTTTTGTTGGCCAGGGCCAGGTTTGAAACTGCCACCCTCAGTATATGGGGCTGGCGCCCTACTCACTGTGCCACAGGCACTGCCCAATAAATGCTATCTTGCTCCATTATACCACAAAAAGAATATAACCTGAATCCAAAAGTAAAACTACAGAAGCAATAATAAGATAAATAAAGAAATTTGACTTGAGCAGATGCCCTCCTCCTCTTGGCCATCTACCCACTGCTGCCCCCTCATCCTTAGGCAGCTATCCTAGAGCTTGGTGGGGTATCTCACGTAACCAGAAGACACACAGCAAGCATAGCAGAGTGTTCACAGTCTCCCACACAGATTAGATAAGCACAGCAAGTTTTAACAGGCAGGTAGAGAGTGGGTGTCAGGACATGAGAACCTAGTGGAATGATTTTCCCTCCCTCAAATCCAAAATACCAAAGTGTGCCAAGGATCAGAAATT